TGACTGCTGTAATTGTATTCATAAAACAAAAAAAAATAAAGATAAATAAATGTTTAATTTGAAGTTTTTATTCTTTATTCATAAAAGTGACCATCCAGAGCATTACATTTTAAAAATTCTTTGCTAAGTTCTGAAACTGAACAACAAAGTGTTATCATTAATTCATTTTAATACAAAAAAAATTAAACGTGTGTGAGTACTTCACGACGCTCATGTAGTAGTTAGTGCTTCCGATGGTCATTTTCAAAACTTGCTAATCAAATTTCAAAACTGCTAATCAAATTGCAACTTTTGAAAATTTTGATTAGCAAAACTGCTAATCAAGTTGAAAATCTTATTTGGAACCCTGGGCTGTAGTAAGGCTTCTCACACCACTTAAAAAAGCATCCGCCATGTTGTACGATGAGTCGCGGCCTACAGTCTCTCTTATTGTGCCTCTCAAGCACATGACAGAAGAGAACATGTCACTGTGCGATGAGGACTCTGCACCACAATCGTCCAAATGAAGTGAGCCATACTGAAGGACTTGACTGATCGATACTAAGGGGAGCAATACCAGTTTCTGTTGGATCCCCGTTTCCGTAGCTTGCGGCAGATAAACAAAAAAAGAGAGGAAGCTAGTATTCAACAGGCTGAAAATGAAATCAACACGGATGCAGAACCAGGTATTTAATTCCTCTTTTTATTTATTATTTATTTTCCATGTCTGTTGCATTTGTGAACTTTTTTCTACCGTTGCTTGCTTCTACAGAACCCTAGTCAAACACAAGGGACAGAAGCTGCACTGGCCAGTCCCTCACAGTTCCTACTTGAGCCTGGTGATGTCCTGTCACACACAGCAGAAGATGGCGAGGAAGAACAGTCTGCTCCAGCCAAAAAGACAGCACTTGAAGATCTCCTTCTTCCCTTCTACAGCAGGGAACATTGTCAATGCCCAGAGATCCCAGCTTCTACCTGAAAATGTGGACATGCTCATATTGTTTAAAAAGAACTGATAAGTGACTTAATGTCTTTTTTGTTTGTTTAAGTTTATTTGAAAAACTATAGTGTACTTGACATTTTATTTCAGGGTCAGATCTCCTTGTTTGTTTAACTGTTATATATATATAACAGTTATATATAGAGTGGCACTGTTCTGGTCTGTTAAAAATACCTGACCAGTCAGTGTGACTTTTGTTATAATTAAAAGATCCAGCTGCTGCATTAAAAATTTATATTTTATAAAGGAACTACTGACTGCTTGTTTTAGTTTCATAATTACATACATTGTTCAGTCATTCATTGCAAAGGACAATTACTGCTAAGTTCTGGCAAATGCTTAAGGTCATAGATGGATATTTCACTAATGAAGAAAAGCAGAAGCACTTTATGTTAAAAGGAAGAACTAATTTGATATAAACAAACATGTTGATTATTAATTATTAAATCATTTAAATATTGTGATAATTATCGTATTGTGACTCTTTTTTTTGGTATCATTACATCCCTAGTCTTTACTGCTCCACATGCATATACTTCATACATTATAGCACATCCATTACAGGCCCCAACAAACAAAAACAAATTCAATCACTTAATATTGTGGAATACTGTGTTAACCTGAGTATGCATTACATTGTACTGAAACTTGTTTTCTTTACATCCAAATACAATATTTTGCAAACATTTGAGTAATTTCATGGCTGAAGCAGAATTAGACGGTAAATAAATGATTTTATCCCAAAGTGACATGTAAACATTAACATATTCAACTACACTCACCTAAAGGATTATTAGGAACACCATACTAATA